TATTCCTAAATAGGGCCTAAATATAAGGTTGTCTTAAAGCTAACAGGGTTTCTTTTTGGTTACATCTTTACATGTGAATTAATGCTTATCATCGGGTAATATTTAGAATATTTTCACATTTGAAATATAACCCGACCGTCGGGCAGGGGAATTTGAAAATCTGGCAGCCCGAGTTGAAATCAACCCGTCTCGAACGGTCGGGCAGGCAGGTATTTCGAACCCTGGTGTAAATCTCACAAGGAAGACCAACGCCTGCTGGGGGTGAGTCGTGACCAAGAAGCCTCAAGTTTATTTTCAGTATCAATATTCACCCTGTAACATAATTGAACAAATAATAAATAGTTATGTAACCGGAGTGGTTTAGGTGAATGAATCACTAAACGCTGGTTGATTTGTTGATGACAGTTGTTTAATACAGTAGCATAAATAACAGAGGCCCTGTGAAAATAAATACACCGAGTCAAAATATGCACAATACCTACACATACAAATAAATCATTACATAACTTATTAACAAATATTAGAATCTTATATATATATATCATATACATTGTTATGATCCATCGTAATTAGTTTTATCTTACTTTACTCTAAATATTACAGGGGATTTATCATATAATAAATTGACAAACATAGCTTATCAATAATGGGAGAATGATGATAAATGCATTAATACATAACACACAATTTCAGTACATATCACCATAAATACATACAAAATATAAATGTCCTCACCAGGTGTATAGCACTGTGCCCTATGATGTCACAACATCAGACATTTGCTTTACCGGGACACACCTGAACATAAATATATATAACATAATTACAGTGTAACATATTACATCAATATGTTTACATCCTTAGGTATATACAATAACCCTAAAATATATATTCTAATCACTCACCTCATCATATAGACATACAGACATACATTCATACATGTGCAGTTAGATGCAGAACTTTTATTTACAGGTAAAGAGCTCAAGTCTATCAATAAATGTACTCATTATGCTTAGTTACACAATAAGTTAAGTAATATCAACATGAAAATGCTAGTTAAGATTATCTATTATAAACATACTTACATACTTAAAGTATTTAAGCAAATTTATCCTAACTACATTTATCCGAATACGATGACTGACATGATATATACTTATCACACCTAACAATATAAGTATTATTAAAAGAAGTTAAGAAACCATACATATGCACTTTAACAAACCCTTCAAAGCACTAAATAAGAACACATAAACATACAATTCAAACAATCTAACCTGTGACAGTTGATTGAATTATTTCAGCGATGAACTGAGAACTTGTCTCCATACATAGTCAAATACAAGTGTAAATTCAAACTGACCAGTCCCATAATGCACCCTGTCACTGAAAGTGAGGGGCTGGGGCTAGACAATAGAGACCAGAGAAACAATAGAGAAGGCAAGCGCAAGGGTGACTGTGCTATTGTATTAGTGAAGCAGGTTAGATAGGAGGGTAGACTAAAACTTAGGTATTAAAATAAGAGGTGACCTTAAAATACACTTGATGATATCTACATAATTACATACTACTACAGTTATACACATTAAAACATTGCACTTATCACCGTTATTGATATAATAATTAAAATGCATTCACCACATTAATCACGTTGTTCTCCATATTACTTAAACTGCATCAATGCACTTTTATATACAAGATGTAAATTATACATACATGAAATATAAACAATAAATGTTTAATATGCCTACCGAGTATCTGGCACTCAGGTGATAGTAGGCAAAATCACTTGTCACTGCAAATCCATATATAAATAACATACACATGTCACTCTAACTTAAATATCATAAAATAATATACATAGTAATCTACTGCCATATTAATTCATTCTAAACCTACTATAAACATAATCTTAAATAGGATATGTCATAGATAAACATACATAAATTAAGATGATATTGATTAATTTATCATGGTGAACAATAGGGCAGACACAGATACTTATATGTCGCCTTTATCATTAAAATATTATAATACATTCACATCATATCAGAAAATCATAAACATGAATGGTGTGCTTATAATCATTACTGTACTTATACTTATACTAATGACATAAAATACATTCATACACTCAAATCACAAAACTATATCCTACACAAGATCTTTAATACTGTGAAAAGCGACGTTTCGGTATAGATATCTATACCGAAATGTTGCTTTTCACAGTATTAAAGAAGGTGTTATCCATAAAATTGTGTCTATCTTGTCATCCGTCAACTTCTTAGTTATGCCTATCAAACAATATATCCTACACTGAAATAATGTTTACTTACTAAAACAAATTTTACATCCTACATAATGTTTATGATTGAGTATTAAAACTAACCTTTAGAGAAAGATGAAGTTGTGAAAATCCTTGTATATCACATGTACAATACGTGTCACAATACATGTCTTATGCAGTGACTGTCCAGTGCAGTTGTATATAGTAGACTGACTTAGTGCTTGTGTTTGTTTTGAAGCTTGTCCTCTAAAAGCAATTTAAACGATTATTCTTGACACTCACAATAAACCAAAAAACTGACCAGTCCAAGTTCAGCTTGGAGCAATCAGGCTAGAAACTGGTACCGGACATAATCCAATAAAATACAACAACTACACTGTCTAAAACCAATACCATATATATACGGTTAAACTATGAAAAATGACACTGCCACATCAACATTTCCCCTACAATCCAGGTGTCATGTTTTAAAGACGGATAACTCCCAATTACTTATCATTTTTGTTTTGTTTGTATCAAGTAAACTAGCAAGGTGAATTCAAATCTGTTTCAAATAAACTTGTGGTTCATTTTTATCCACAGGGCATATAATGTGGGGGGATATAGTTCTTCCGTCCGTAATCATTTCATTTTCGGAGCACAATTTGAAAATCATTCAATATTTTTCAACAAAAACTGCCAGACATATCAAACAGATCCTGACGTGGTGCCTTTTGCATTTTAAGGAATTGGGGCTTTTTTATTTTTCCCGATTTCCAGGAAAACATTTTGTACTTCTTCTCATAAGGGGGTGGATTTCATTTACGTAACACAACTTGAAAACTGGGAAACACTTTTCATCCAAACCTCTTACATGTATTAACCAAGGGCTGAAGTGGTGCCTTCTGCTATTTACAGATTTTTCAAAATTAGATTTTTCCCTGTTTCCATGGAAACAAGTTAGACTTAGCTGAAACCGTATTCCATGGTATTGTTGTGATAGCTTAATAACTACTCTTGTATACAGACAGACGAGACAGAAATTCTCTCATAAAGTTGTACTTAAAGTTGACTTTATCAGTAAGATGATCTGACAACTGCAGCCATTGAGAATGTTCATGGTCATCTCTCTGTAATCAGTTTTGAATATGAATGAGGTAACTTTGATATGATACCATAACCAGTGCTGTAACCAGAGGATCACCCAATACTTTCAGTCCAACATCATCTTTCGGCTGGCTGTGCAACAAAATGGCAACTAAATATCATTGTCACACAATATAATGTGAGTTTTCTTAAACAGCAAAATTTTAAATGTTTCATTGTCAGTTCCAAATGAAATTTCTTGTCATAAATTACTCACCACCATCTGCAAAACTGATAGAAAGATACATGCTTATCTCCTGAATCTCTAATAGAGCCTAGAGAATTCAGATCCAGATTTTTTAATTGTCTTTTCTTACCAATATGAAATTGCAGTATGCATAATGAGATGTGGGGTTGAATATCTCTTTAGCAAGACATTGTTGCCATAAAAGGTGACTATGCTTGTCGTAAGAGGTGACTAACGGGATCGGGTGATCAGACTTGCTGACTTGGTTGATGCATGTCATCGTATCCCAATCCCATGGATCGATGCTCATGATATCGAATATTTACAGACCGCCATCATATAGCTATAATATTGCTGAGTGCAGCATTAAACAACAAACAAACAAATGGCATAATAACATGTATTTTGTAATGTATTGTGACATTTAGCACCTTCAATCTTAAAATGTCATTAACAGTGTTGGATCAGTATTCTTTCTGCAAATACAGCATTGAACTCCTGAAGGCCTAGGAAGCTGAAACAGCTATGTTGTCTCATCTGATTTTTAAAAGGGAAGCCATTTGAGGTGTTTTTATAAATGTCATTTGGGCCCAATATTCAGCAATTTCTGCAAGTATTGTTTTACTTTTTTATGCAGTTGGTATGAGGTATCTTTGTGTGTATTCTGTGTTATAGTAAGTGCCCTGCAACCGATGCTTGTCCTAATCAGGTACTATATAGCCTGGGTGGCTCGGTGACTGATTGTGTGTCCTCGTACCCTGACATCATGGATTGTTGCTCACAGCATTAACCACTGGTTTGTCTGTCTCAGACTTGATATTTGTACAGCCATGATGAAGCTGCATTATGTCACTCATTCTCCCAGGTATGTGGTATGTGAAATTTACTTCATCTGTGGTATCTTATCATCATATCATCTGTGTCACATTGAGAGGTATGGTTGGTTGGTTTGTTGTTTAACGCCGCACTCAGCAATATTCCAGCTATATGACGGCGGTCTGTAAATAATCGAGTCTGGACCAGACAATCCAGTGATTGATATCATGAGCATCAATCCTCGCAATGTGGGATCAATGACATGCATCAACCAAGTCAGCAAGTCTGACCACCCGATCCCGTTAGTCGCCTTTTACAAGCATAGTCGCGTATTACGGCAAGCATGGGTTGCTGAAGATCTACACCAGATCTTCACGGGTCTTGAGAGGTATGAGTGAGATGGGTTTAATGCAGCTTTGGAGGACAGTATTATATGATGTCATTTCAGCTTAATGTGGGAGGAAAGCCTGAAGTGATGCAGGTCCCAGACGTTACCACTTCCGTGAAACCTAGGAGCAAGGGTGTCTAGGTGCTGACAAACCTAGAAACATAATTGGAGCGAACTGGGACTCGAACCCACAATCACACCACAATTCTGGTGTGCCCAATGGACACAACTCTGCACAGCGAAATGTGGCCCCTTAGACAACTGGGCCATCTGTGCCCCCTGAGAGATGTGAAGTAGTGACTAATGTGATTGGGTTGTCAAACTTGCCGACTTGGTTGATGCATGTCATCGTACCCCAATTGCATGGAGTGATGCTCAAAATGTCAATCACTGGATTGTCTGGTCCAGATTTGCTTATTACAGTCTGGCAAAGTTGTCCAAAACTATGAATTTGATATTTTCAGTGAGTCAAGTAAAGGGCTTATATCCTACCTCATCCTCTAATCCTGTTCTTACGTAAGAAATGGCGGGTGAGGGCCAGTAGCAGTGACAAAATGTGTCGAGCGTTTCTTTTAAGTGCAAAGAAAGAAAGAAAAATGTAGGCCCCTAGTGTCTAGTATGTTTGTTTTTGAATGGAAGTATTTCATAAGGCTTGATATATACTCCTTGAAAAAAGTTAAGCACCCCCTGAGATAACGAATTGTATTGTCACCATTAATTTCAACTGTAATGGCAGTGGTGATTATGACAAGAATGGTGTTCCATCAAAAGGATGTGAGTGTTCCTGTTTGATGTTAGAGCTCGCCGTGGCATGCACGTGCAGTATTCTCTACAATGGTGGTGGTTTCTTATTGTCAGAGGGTTGTCCTTACCGATGACATTCATTCATTGCAGCTCATTTTGTCAGAAATTTCAATCAAGCATTTGTTTCATTAGTCACTGAATCATTTCTGGGGGTGCTCAATCTCATTAAAATTAGGTCTGATTTCTTGCAACCACTTTGTTCAGTGGTAGCAAGAACTAAGATATGATTTTAATGTCTTTTGCAACTATATCTATGTCTGTTTACACACTGCGTTTTCTTCACCTTTTGTCAGAGGGAAATATACACGTTACATTCGACAGTCAAACAGACATTACAGGCTATTGACCCATATGTCCCAACAACAAAGCATGTTTGCAGTGCAACCACATAACTATTAACAGTTTTGAGAGGAGTAGGCCACTACCGCTTCCATGTAGGTACGACATGTAGTAAGTTCATCCTCAATAAACTTGCAACCTTTTGTTAGATAATAAGAACAAAACTTTCAGCATCAGGTACATTTTTATGTCTTCAAACCTTAACAGATAACCAGAGACCATATCTCATTATACGGTCTCTGCGCTGGTATAATATTGGCACAGAAAAACAACTTAGCAAAATTAAATAGCTCAATTTAAGGTATGAGAAATGGCCCACATATATTTTTAACTCAATCAGTTTACTTCTACCTCACATTTCAAATGATCGCATGGGCAAGATATCATTTATTAAAATGAACACAGTATTACTTATAGATGTAGGATTAGAGTTATCTCCCCTCAGCAGGTACTTGAATATTATGAGCATCAGGGTTAGTTCAACGCATAATACATATGGTTATTTCACAAGACACAAATGGCTTTCAAACATTGTAATGATTTTTTGATAGGACATTCTTGTATGTTATTACCAAACCTGAAAATATCAGCACTTTATGTTCTAGGAAGTGAACCAATGTTAACACTGCTATAAAGATAAACCTTTTGATTTAAGAGATGCATGGACACAACGTTATCAGATTAAATATGACAAAGTGACTGTCTGTGCTCCATACCTATAGCTGAGCTACAGAGTTATCACTTGTTTTTATCTGAATCAGATAGGTAGCAAACAATGCTTGTAGTTGTATAATGTACACTACAAAGTTGCTGCAATTGTAGTTCATTCTGGGCAGTGTCAGTGATGTCCTTGACAACACCTTTGTAAGAGCTGATTACCATAGTTTGAGGTACGTCTTCCACAACAGGCTTACCTCCCCTGGTGTTTTGGAAGTGACTTTGTCACTCTTCAGTGAGTAACTACAATGAGATTATTCAGTTCCTTCTTCATGAGTATCTTCTCCTCACACTCTACAGCTTCTTGTCACAGGGATGGGGTGTACCCCACACAAACAGTTGACTGTTTGGGTACAGTTTGAATAGAAGTGACATCCTTCACATCTGAGGAGTTGATGGTCTCACCGTCGCAGGGTTGTACGTGATAACTGATGGTAGAGAATTGTACAACAGGCTCGCTTGGTCAATTAATCCTCCAATTAAGGCTCCTCGTCTGTCATCCTATTTCTCTTTGCAGTTGCCTGAACATCTGCAAGTATTCAGAAACATGTCTGTATCAATAACTAGTTTTACCAGGTTGTATATTTTGTAATATGTGGCACATATATGCAACAATGCTACTAAATTTGGACCAATAGTGGTAGACTCCCTAATGACAACATACAGCAGTAGGGTAGCCTAGTGGTTAAAGCGTTCGCTCGTCACTCCGAAGACCTGGGTTCGAATCCCGACATGGGTACAATGTGTGAAGCCCATTTCTGGTGTCCCCCGCCGTGATATTGCTGGAATATTGCAAAAAGCGGCGTAAAACCAAACTCACTCACTCACCACTAATGACAACATACAGCAGTAGGGTGTGATGCTGATGATGTTTATTGTGCATATGTATACTTAGTACATTATCCTGAAACAATGGAATTACAACATAATCAAATAAATAACAGAATCTAATAAAGATGTTTTCTCTTTGCATTTATAAAATGCACCCAGATACATCTATCACTCCTATCAAACAATCACATTTACTTGCCATTACTCTAACATAGTATGTAGTTGATATATATTTAGGTTAGAATATGATACTTAATTGTACAGTTAAAAACTCACTGAACTGTGAGTTCATCTACAGTTAAAAATATATACACAATACACTATGTTTCCAATTTTTTCAAGACGTCCTATTTCTAGTCATTGTTACTAGAAATCATCCATATGGATGTAAAACCCTGTGACCAATACGCTGTTGTTTCGGGCTCTCTTACTGATTCGGGAAGGTTATTATATGTCATGGGCAAGAGTGAGGGCTTTCAGCTGATCAACAACTCAAAGCCGGAATAAGTTATCGATTCTCTCCAGTAAATTATGCTTGTCATAAAAGGCAACTTAATGGGTCAGGTGGTCAGACTTGGTGACTTGGTTCATTGCATGTCATCGTACACCAATTGCCTGGATCACAACATCAATTACTGGAATACAGGCTGTCTTGATATAGATGGAATGTTGCAGAGTATAACAAACAACAAAAAACTTAATATGCTAAGCTCATTGAAATTTGAAGCGCTATCAACTAAAATTATGTCATTACAAGATCAAAGATACCTCACTCATTTTGTGAAGTATAAAACACGATAAATTCTTTAGAATATTCCTGGGACTGAGGTATGTTCTATAATGTATACCAAGTGGGCAATCTCATTAAAATCAGATCTATGTTCTCGCTGCCACTAAACAAAGATCTGAGGACATCCCATTACAGGTCACATCAGAACGACCTTTCATCCGACCAATCAAAGCGTCACTTACCAGATCATGAAAGTGACAGTCAGAATGTATTTTCTAATCAATGCAACCTCGAAATCGTTAATACGGAGTATTCTGAACGACAGTTACGGCCTGTACGACTGATTCCGTCAAAATTATCGTCTATCTCTCGGTTCCGTGGGATAAACATTTTAACGGAGGACGCATTGTACAGTACGTAGGAAGCACTGTCATACACTCTCAACCATATATTAGACATTATGGAATGTTCTATTTCTGTTTTCAAAATATTAATCGAGAACTGTGTCAATATTTTTCAAGCGTAGACAAAAATGGAATTCGCTAGGTTGAAATGAGTGCCGTAAAGCTTGAGAAAGCTTCTGTCTAATTGGCTGATGTTGACTTTGCTGATGTCATTTCAGTCGTCTGTCAAAATTCGCGAAAGGTCGTCATGACCCGTAATGGGATGTCCTCAGATCTTTGTTAGCGGCAGCGAGAACTAAGATCTGATTTTAATGAGATTGACCAAGTGGGCGACAATTCTAAACAATGAACCAAGACTCCCTCCCAAGTCTTCTGAATCGAGTCATCCAACCTCAGTATTTTACATATGCGGCGTTGTTACAAAGTATAACAATCTGCCCAAACTATGGACTTCACACATTGTAGTGGTATAAATATAGGTTACCGATCTACACAAGGACAATATGGAATTTCAATGCTTGAGGCCGGACAGGGCACTAACCTACTTATACCACGTGGGCCCCATTATTGATCTAACATTTATATATAATATGTGAACTTAGTGGCATGGTCCTAATTAATCTTCAAATGACATTTTGAAGGAATCTCGTCCACTCCTCTGGCAGCATGCCCTCCAGTTCAGTCCAGGACATGGTCTATGGTGAAAAGGTCAGGAGTCATGGCTGGCCATTGCATTCTGGTGATGGTTTCCTTCTGGAGGTTGTCAGTTAAAATATGTGTACAGTGGGCACAAGCTTTATTATCTTGAAAGACAAAACGTGGACTAGTATGGTGCACCGACGCCAGTTTAATTTCTCAGTAAAACTGTCCAGTCTATCATAGTGATCCCACTCCATATCATTACAGACCCACCCCCAAATCTGTCATCTTACTTTGATGTTGCATGACATTCGTCAAGACGCCTCCAGACACATCCACCAATATCCAGAAGGACATTACACTAGACCTGTTTCTAAGATCTACCACCATTGGTGTCTGGCTGGAATGTGTTGATTTGTTAACGGTGGTACAACACTTGGTTGCAGAGCATGCAGATTAGCTCCATACAGATGTTTTGTAATTGTCTGTCCAGTAAATTGAACTCCGGTGGCCTGGCACATGTGAACAGTGATACGAGGGGTGTTCATTAAAGATTTCCCCTAAACCACTTAGGGTTATCATATTTGGTTGAAATTTCACATGTGTAATGATACATGCATCTATGGGTTATGTCTGAATTTGCAGCACCGAACTATTAATCTTACCACTTTTACAGGTGTTATGATCGAGTAGGGTGTGACAATGGAGGCAGTAGAATACCGAGCAGTGATTAGGTTTTTATATTTGAAAGGTCGCACACCAAAAGAAACTTTCAATGAAATGAAAGCAACTTATGGGGAAGATGCCCCATCATATGACGTTGTTAAACACTGGCATCGCCAGTTCAAGTGTGGTCGGACATCTGTGGAAACAGCTGCCATTCTTGGTCGCCCCCATTCAGGCATTGATGAGGACACTATCCATCAAGTAGAGCCCGCCATTTTGGCGGGCGGACGTTTAACTGTTCGCCAGTTAGCACAAGATGTCAAGATCAGTGTAGGGTCTGTGGAAAAAATCATCCATGACAATTTGAACATGCATAAGGTGTCTTCACGATGGATTCCCAGGTTGCTCACACCTTTCCAAAAGCAGGAACGAGTCAATTGCTCAAAGGATCTTTTGGACATATGCCAAATAAAACAGGCAAACTTTTTTGACAGAGTTATCACACAGGATGAAACATGGGTCTATCACTATGATCCTGAGACTAAAGTTCAGTCAATGCAATGGAAGCATGTGGAGTCACCCCCCCCCAAAGAAGGCACGTGTCCAACCCTCTGCAGGCAAGGTCATGCTCACGGTGTTTTGGGACCAGCATGGAGTAGTGATGATGGATTTCTTGGCAAAGGGTACCACAATTACAGGAGCTTATTATGCTTCACTGCTGGGGAAATTGCGGGTCGCTATCAAGCTTAAGAGGCGTGGCATGCTGACCAAGGGTGTCCGTTTCCTGCAAGACAATGCTCCAGTACACAACTCTCATGTTGCCCAGACAGAAGCGCAGTCCTGTGGCTATGAAATCCTTCCACATCCTCCTTACTCTCCTGACCTTGCACCATATCTGACTTCCACCTTTTTCAAACCATGAAGTCATTTTTGAAAGGGAAAACGTTTCACAGATGATGAAACACTGATTTCTGAAGTCAAGTCAGGGTTTGAGACGCAAAATGAAGGCTTTTACAAGCGAGATCTCCATAGTTGCATAAAACCATGGGAGAAGTGTGTAACTGTTGGTGGTTCCTATGTGGAGAAAGACTAATACCTATGTCAAGTTTCATTCCACTAGGTCCATTGGAAGTGGGTCAGGGGAAATCTTTAATGAACACCCCTCATATGATTGTCTGTTTGGACTTGATTCTTAAAGCCTGGTATCTGATTAAACGATCCTTGAATTGTTGTGTTGACCTAGGGTGCCCTGTGTGGGGCCGATCATTAACATTTTGTGTCTGCTGAAACCTGGTCCAAAGTCTGCAAACCACAGACTGAGACACATTCAACATATTGCCAAGCTCTCCCTGGGTTCTACCAGTTTGAAGCATGCCAATATCCATTAGTCATTCATCACGTAATAGACGATGCATACCCAATCTGATCTGAAATACTGCATAAAAAACAAGAGTAGAAAGCTTACGTGTTACTATGGATAATGAAAATCAGCAATGCTAATGTCTCAGAGCGACTTGATGACCTTTCACTGACGTGTCAAAATCAAGAAAGGAACCCCCTCCCCACGTACATGGAGTAATCACATGGTCCACAAGCAATGTTTTAGGTGTGTTGGCTGTTAGGTTTTGGTTCCAAAATCGTTCCATCTCTGGCAGGCAATTTTCAAAGCTGATCTTTTTCTGACGATCCTTACATTTATATTTCATGTTCCCCTGCTTTGAATGGAGAGAATAAAATACCAATTAAATCCGTTTTAGATATATACTGAACAGCATTGAAAACGCACCACTATGAAAATGGATGTATTTTTATCCGGGCTTAAGTCATATGAAAATAAACAAGTATTTGTCACAGAGTGACGAAATATCCCCCGCCTGTACACCATAGTACCAAATATGAAGACAATCCAGCGATTAGTTCTTGAGATATTGTGGCAACACCGTTTTCCAACTCCAAAAACAGATTTGCCTGCTGTGACCTTGAAAATGGGGTCAAGGTCACCAAATCTGACAGGTGTATGCGGTGTCTGTATATACACTATAGTTCCAAATATGAAGACAATCCAGCGATTAGTTCTTGAGATATCGCGGCAACACCGTTTTCCAACTCCAAAAGCAGATTTGCCTGCTGTGACCTTGACAATGGGGTCAAGGTCACCAAAACCGACTGGTGTCTGCGGTGTCTGTATATACACCATAGTTCCAAATATGAAGACAATCCAGTATTTAGTTCTTGAGATATCGCGGCAACACCGTTTTC